TGTGGCATGAGACTTTAAAAAGGATTCCCACCCATGATGAATCCATCAAATAAAGTACGCTCCACTACCAAAGCTTTTGTGACTTCAATAGTACGTCATTGCGTTGAGGGTTGGGTCGGTTGGGTCGTGTTAGGGTTGAGGTACCTTGCCTCGTCTTTTTCTGGCCCAAGTTGAACTTCTACTCTAATAATGATAAGATTCGCCGACACATTAATAAAAATGATAAAAAAATTACTTATAACTTATACAATAGATGCATACAAATATAAATATTAAATTTATCAGTTATAAGTTTATATTAAATCAGACTTGATTTTAATAGATTGAATAAGATTAAATCTGCATGGATTGGAAGGGGTTAAACCTGCATCTGATCTGATTATTAATTGGATTCTAATTATAACATTCAAATCAGTGATAATTGGATTTGATTTTGAATCACGAGTCCATTGACGTAAGAATGGCAGTGGGGTGGGTTTGGAGAGGGTTTTGTAAATTGAAAACCCTAACCACCTCACCAAACCCCTCAATCCGTATTCGCCCAAAACCCATAGCGGTTGGATTTTTAGAATCCAAACCTTCCTTATAAATGAAAATGCAAAACCCTCTTCACATTAAGGGGTAGAATGGGTTAAATTTAAACTTGAATATAATTTCCCATTTTTTTCTTTTATATATAAGCAACAAATAAGTAAAATAACATGAACGTAACAAATATCAAAATTTTCAATTATTTGATTAAGATACATAAAAAATACATGAACTATCAATTATCCTTCATATAAAATTCAAAATATTATTAAATTTAACACCTAATACACAAAGCTTATATGCATCCCAAATATATGTGAATTGGGGAGTGCTGGGTTTAACCTAATACCATACCCCACCTATACCCATACCCATTCAGGTTGTATTATCTCAAAACCTGTCCTTGCCATTGCCATCCCTAACCCTAGGCATGGGTGAGGGGATGTCTCATATTTTTTCTTCTCCAAGGGGCTACATAACAATCCCCCAAATTCATAAACCCTCTAACCTAGGTGCAAGGGAATTGGAGATCATATCAACAGGCCAATTCACACCTTGCAATTAAGATATATGTCACCAACATTTTTTAATGCTTCACCAACTTGAAAATCTTGAAAATCAATATAAGGTAGCTTACTTGTGTATTTAACCTCTACATGGTTCACCTCCAACCAATCCATTAAAATTGGGTATAAATTAGGTTGTTGGTGTTGTTGGCATGTGCCAAAGTGAGTTGGTCCAGGTAGTTGGCACCTGGTAGTTGGCATTAAGGAAAGAAACATATATGGTTTGAAGTTATTGATTCTTGTGATTATGACATATTGACATTCTAATTTTAACTATAGAAGTGTTAAAGTGTAAAATCTTATGGAGTTACTAGCAATGGTAACAGGGCGGGTTCGGAGCGCGGATCTTATTCTTCGTCTTTAATCCCGATTCTAAAATTAATTCCATCTTCATTTTCGATTCCCATTGGAAATAAAATTTGTCTTCTATCCCCAATCCCTTATGGGGATGAATTCCCCGCAGGGACCTGAATTCCTAAAATTTTTTTTAGATAATAATATTCTTTTTTAAATATAAATTTACTTAAAATAAATAAATAAATTTAATTATAAATAATATTTTATAATTATCATCCTTAGGAGTTACTATCCTATCCTATAACACTAGTTTGATCCTAGCATAACAAATAAAGACATTTATAATGGCTACATAACCAGTAAACACGTAAGTATTCTATATGGGGTTGCAACACATGATGTTACATCGGCCCACAACACAACCAATTGCAAATGAACACGTCATTATTCTATACACATAAAACCTACATGAAAGCCCACAACAAATACGGCCTTTTATATGTGTCAAACACTGGCATATTCAGTTATGATTGATATACATGGTTGTATGGGAGTGGAACTATTCACAACAAAAAACTGTTCCAACACATCCAACATAATCTGTGTCTGTGTCTACACATCACATACATGGGGTGGGTTGCAGTGCACGATGAGATGTATTGATACAGATTATGTTGGTACTGTGTCGGGACAGCTTTTGTTGTGAACAGTACAGATCCCATCTCCATCTTTTATTTATGCAGATCCAGAATTGATTTTGATCGGTTGTTGGACCCATTATCCAACCACTCCGGATTTGCTTTCCACAAACTGTTCCCAAATCCCTATCCTCATAACACCATTCCCATGTATTGGGAACATCTTCAATAAGAAAGGAGATAGTCTCAATACGCACCTATAATGTACGTGGATAGGGATGTAGGAACCATGGTTTTCAAAATTAGACCGAATCGGAAAAATCAGAAACCAGTCAGGTGATTAGTCCCGTTTTACCTCAGAATCGTTATTTCGYCAAAAACCATTAATTTGGGCAGCAAATACTGACCCAGGTGATTGAACCATCCAACAGTTTCTGCCATTTTTTATTTTTTTGTTAAAACGAACCGTCCATTCAATTCGAATAATCGGACCATTCAACCAGGGAACCGGACCCTGACTAGTTCGTTGCCCAGTTCGATTTTAAAAACCTTGGTGGGAACAGCTTGTGAGTGACAGATCCGAACTCTTATCCAACAGTTCAACACTCAACAGTGGTGATACAAATTTGCTTTTTATTTGTGGTTCTAACAATCTTTTGTAATTATATCTTATTTTCCTTTTTTGATTGACAGGGAGAAGAATTGAATAAAAACGGAGAACTTTATCTCCAGAAGCATCCAAATCTAAAAATTAGAATTGTGGATGGAAGTAGCTTGGTGGTTGGTGTTGTACTCAATAGCATTCCCAAGGAAACAAAACAACTACTTCTACGAGGAAATGTTTCCAAGACGGCTATTGCCATTTCTAAAGCTTTATGTCGAAGAGGGGTTCAGGTATACATAATTAACTTATTAATAAAGTGTTTTTATTTTTAGTTTTTTTGCTTTAAATCACTGTTAGAGAATAAAAACTTGATTATTCAGTGACCTCATTTATCAACTTAAGCTTTTAAATTGAACAGTTCCTATTCAGAGCTTGAATAAATAGTTTAATGTCAATCTTCATTATCCCCATTATAATTAATTAAATTTTAACGGTGACAATCACACCCTTAATCAAAAAGAAGAATACACGAATTCGGGTCTACTGATCACAACACATTGTTGGCCACATTTACCTAGCAGCATATTGCGATCATCTCTTRTATTTTATATCACCAATATTCCCAATCCCGATATATGGTTGGATGAACGTTACCAACAATGTGTTGTGGCTAACGGATCTGAACTCGCTCTAAAATGCAGTAACCTCATGTAAACATAAGACAATATATAATCTATTTGAATGATGAAAAAATGTTTTATGATATTTTAATTCATAATCTAACTTTGATCCGTTTTGTATCGGTTCTAACTTGATAATTCCACTTCCCTGTAACACCGCTGAACTGAAACAGGTGGCCATGGTGGACAAAGTTGATTTTGATAAGCTTAAATTACAACTCCCCACAGAGTTATGGAGGAATTTGGTCCTCTCCACCAGTTACAATTACAAGGTAAAGAAAGAAAGAATTATATATTTTGGGTTGATTCTTCACCTAATCTGCCCAAGTGCCCAGGATCCATTCCTTGTCTTGCAAAAATTCCAATCTGGGCTTGGAATTTTTATCCTTGGGCTTGGCCCACGCCCAAAACCTCAGGCTTTTATTTTTTATTTGTCTTTCAGGTTGGACCCAAGTTAGTTTTTGGATAGTCCAATCGTTACCCGTCTCTAACCCAGCTTTAACCTGACTTGGCTACATACATACATACGGCATTCGTATCTAATGGTTTAAGTAGACATAAAGGCCATTTTTAATACATTGAGCCCAATAGGCCCACCAAGCCCAGAATAATCAACTCAAGCCCAATCTAGATGTGTCAAATTTTAGATCTGGCTGGGCATTGGTTGGATAGATCGAGCTTGACCATGAACTTGATATATAATTTGACACATAGGTTGGATAGATGTGTCAAATTTTAGATCTGTAAACAAATCAAACCTATTTAGATTCATATCCATTGTTTTAAAAGGCTTAAGCCTTTAGGTGTGAAGTTTATGTCTTGGGGCAAGATGCAC